TGTATGTATGTATGTATTTTGAAAATGGTAAGACGCATCAGTATTCTGCTCTTCATTAGAGACAGACCGTTAAGAAAGTAGGGTCTCTCGATGTAAAAATATTAATAAGTAAATCTATTAATTGATTTTGCAATCTTTACAGCAGAAATTCGCAAATGCTATTTACGATTATAAAACAAGAGTGCATTATTATTTTTCTTTCCTTGGCACTACAGCCCCAGTGGGCCTAGGCCTACCTCCATGAACTTCTCCGTTCACTTCGGTTTTTCTAGATCTTAGACATACGGTAGGACTCCTTGAGCGGGTGATCTGCTCGTCGCAAGGCCTCTACCTGTAGACAAACACAGAAAAACGTACACACACACAAACTAAACATCCATACCCTGAGTGGGATTCGAACCCACGATCCCGGTTTCCGAGCGAGCGAAGACAGTAATGCCTTAGACCGCTCGGCTACCGTGACCGGTGTATAATTTTACATTGTTCCGCGACGGCGAGACTCGGTGAACTGCAACATAATTTGTACAAAACTGAACATACTATGGTAATTTTCAAGTACCTCCGTGACCATGAAAAGGATCATTTTCTGCAGGATATGTTATTGTTGAAAGATAGAAAAAAAATAAAATTTTGGCACGATGAAAGTATAGTTTAAAAAGAGAAGCATCTGCTACTAGGCAAGGGCAAAGTAAACAAGTTTCCGCAACAACGAATACGTGACACCACACTGGAGAACAGAAGTCAGAGTCTACTCCCCGTGGAGGCGGGTCCGAATACCTCCACCATAGCCCCGCGAATCATAGGAAGCGACGAATGGGGAACCCAGTGCCTTGGGGTATAACTGAGATACACTGTCCTTGGAGGATATAAATACGAGGACCTGGCCCTCCAGGTTTGGGGAGTCTCAAATCTGAGACAGCAATTATGGCCATGAGTCCCTCGGGACTCAGACCCGAGAATGACTGCCCTGCCGAGGCCCAGCAGAAATTGTAAACAACAGACCCAGCCTCTCGTCAGAGAGGGCGTCCCACATCAAAACACCCGAAACTCTCTGACTGTAACAAAGATCTTGTCTTGGGCTCCAGATGGGTTTTTGACAGCAAGACAGACAGGCCAACTGACCGTCTTTTGTAACATAAATTTGACTTCGAATTTTGTACACATCAGAGAATGTGTTTTATCTATTAATTCAATGTATTTTCAAATCGTTCTGAAATAAGATTAAAGTGCTGCAAAGGCCCACAATCAAGTTTCAACAGTTTTCTTCTAAAGGAAAATCAAGTTCATATTTCCGGATTCCTTGTGTGTTGGGATAATATTTGTTATATCACAACTCTCAAGTGCAGAAAAACTCCTTTGCATACAGAATATTAACTGTAATTATGCAAAATATAACCTTCTCCCTAAGGTTGAGTCAAAGGCATACATGTAAATTGGGTGGGACAGTTACCAACATTTATAAAAATGTACAATTAAAAAAATACGTACTTCAGGAACGTGTCGTATAAATCCCCATCCTGTGGGCTACAGTGCGGGACAAGCTGAGAAATATTTTGTTATTAACTAACAACTCCTTGCAGATCAGCCCTTCTTTAGAAGGCGCAAATTTGTGCATTTACTCAAGAACTTCCCAAAATTTTATGAAACTGAAGGTTCACTATTGTGTCCATAAGAGCCATCCACTAGTCCGTGTCCTCATCCAGATCAATACAGCCCTTAAATCCCAATCCTCTCCCTCTAAAATCCATATTTGTATTGTATCCATATTGTAAGATTTGAGGGTTTCACGGCGGTGACTATGACGTTTCGGATAAACGTCGGTTAATGCAATATCTACACGGCGCCACATCTCAGAAGACTGTTTTCTTCATTTTAATATTATCCATCCACCTACTACTTTGTCTTCCTAGTGGTATCTTTCCAGCCAAAATCATATATGTATTCAGCTTCTCCTCATTCGTGCTACATGCCCTGTCCATCTCATCCTCCTCGACTATTGCCAACTGGACCACTTTTCTAGCAGTGACTGGATGACAAGCCGCAGGGGCAGGTTCTGGTAGACCTAACACAATGAGACTTTGCAGATGGCCAGAAGCTATCTACTGCGTGTGGTTGAGATACGGCATGACCGTGCGAAGTACAGGGATACTATAAATTCTTCATCCGTTTTTAAAACGCTATATTTTCCAAAGTATTAGACATATAAATATGATTCATATATAAAAATAACCGTAAACTCACCATGTTTGTATTACTTGCACCAGTTGGCAACACGAGTTCAGTGCCTTTACAAAATGGCGACAAAGCAAGAAAAGAGTTTTTGTTTGTTGGAATATGCGAGATGTTCGTCTGTTATAGCAGTGCAACGCGCATTCAAAAGAGAGTACGGAAAAGAACCGCCATGTAAACAAAGCATTTTGTGGCGGTATCGGCAATGTTCGTCGCTACCGAAGCAATGAACTTCGGCATCACTGGATTGGGCGTGTCGGTGAGGATGATGCAGCTCTGTTCACTTGGCCCCCCAGATCACCTAATCTAACGCCTTGTGACTTCTTCCTTTGAGGGTACATCAAGGATCGTGTTTACGTACCCCCACTGCCAAAAACACTCGTAGAGCTGAGGGAACACATCGATGCTGCACTGATGACCATTGACAGGATGATGCTACAAAATGTGTGGAACGAGATCGACTACCGCCTGGACGTGTATCATGTGACCCAAAGGGCATACATAGAACATTTATAGAGTGTGAAGAAAACTTGGCGAGTTACGGTTATTTTTATATATGAATCATATCTGTACGTGTAATGCTTTGGAAAATATAGCGTCTTAAAAACGAATGAATCACTTATAGTAGCCCTGTACATGATTTGAATGTGGAGCACATGCTATCTTGGGCACAGAGGCCTCTCTCATTATTCAAGTTTTAAGAAATGTTGTTATAATTATCGCGTCAGTAAACACAGCAAGAGATAGAAAGTCCGGATGACCTCCAGGGCAACAGAGACCATGAGAGGATTTCCTGATCTGTCCTTCTGAGCTCGAATCGAGGTTATGAAGTAGATCAAATAAGTCATATACTGACATGAATTATTATGCAGGTAAATGCGTGTTATTATTTATTATATTTTATAAATGCGTAATCGAATATATCCCTTAACTAGCCCAAGTGATTACAGAAATTCTGTAGCTATATGTACAGACTAGCCTAATAAAGTCTCATAATTGAATTATTATTATTATTATTATTATTATTATTATTATTTTGTATTATATTGTGACGTGTTAGTGTTAGACATGGGGTTTGGGTTGATAATTGGATTTATTGAACAGTTATACCTCGCAACTTCATGTAACTAAAAATTTCACTGTTCTACACACACTGCAGATCACTGTACTGCAGCACACATAACGTCTTCCATATGTTTACCAGCCGTTGTCTGCTAACGGCTATCAACAATGGATACTCCTGTGCTTCCGTGCTCACGTCCTCTCTTAATGGTGGCTAGATCGCATGTAACTCATGGCCGCAACTCATGACGTTTTTCCGATGACCTTTTTATATATAGCCTCGGCACGGACCGCATAGAAAACATCGTTTCCAACTCTACTGTAGCGTGCTTATCCATTGCCACGATGCGTGTTTACTGAGCCGTTAGCTACCATCGGACAATTTCTTCTGATTCCATTATTCCGGGATTTCTGCTACCATATCACATTAAATAAAACAGACGAAATTGCAACACCTGCATCACTCACGTCATGGTCTTGAAGAGCATTTGACAACGGCAGTAATTAACGTCTGTTACTGTGTCTACTGACGGTGATATATATCCTTGAATATTTTGAATTGCAATGGTCAGGTATAAGGTAGGCCAATTTGAAGTGATATTATGCTCAAGAAAATTCATTTTCATAAGAACAAAGCACGGTATTATGCCTATTCATTATTTATTATCCTAACGTAAATAACAAAGATGCATTGCATTAGTAATACCTCTTAATAATTATCAACAAATAATCAACAATGAAGAAAGTCGTCTTCTGGGTTTAGGCACCGTGTATTCTTCGTTTTGGCCGACGTTTCGGAGGAACGTAGCGCCTCCATCTTCAGAGCAGTTGAATGGCTGCGGAGAGCAGTAGCAACTGCTCTGAAGATGGAGGCGCTACGTTCCTCCGAAACGTCGGCCAAAACGAAGAATACACGGTGCCTAAACCCAGAAGACGACTTTCTTCATTGTCATCGCCGTGAAAACCTCAAAACTTACAAATAATCAACAAGTTTATATGATGAAGGAGAAGCAGGAAATATAATGTCACTATTTTATTATGGTTACTCTTTACGTTTAATAATTCTCCAGGAAACTGATAACTTCATCGTTGACTAAAGTCTTCACGTGAATGGCCCACACGAAGTCGAGGTGATTGAACGAGTCCAGTGGAATGCGATATTCACCCACAGAATTACCCAGACTTTGGTTCAGTTTGTAAACATCCTGAAATCCAAGTTTGAATGATTACGATACTATATTCTTCATGGAATTATTATTATTTGATATTAAATGAATACATTATTCTCGTGTTCTAAAGCCGTGGTAAGAGAGTCCTATGAATGCAGAAACCTTGTTAAAAATATGAGGAAAATTTGAGTTGTTATAGGCTATGAATACTGTGGGTTTTGATCGGTGAGTCGATTTATTGGATCTCCACTAGTTGTAATTACAAATAATAATAACACTTTCATGATTACTATAATTATAACACACAAAGTCATCAATTAACCCGTTAAGTCTACATAGGTCTTCTTCAACTACGAACTTCCTGTGGTTGTCTCCTACCGAAAATTGAACTGAACTGAACAGCTGGTGTTATTCTGTAAACTTCGTTATATAGAGCCCGCACACACCACCCACAGAATCTACAGTTCTACTGTTGCAGACGGAAGACCACACAGAGAACAAGTAACGCGATTCCTAGCCAGCGTCTTGTTTGGTGCGCTGTTGTCTAGCAACGCACAATAACATTCGTCTACTAAGACACATCTCCCATTTTTGCACGTTGACCGTGTTTACCAAGCATTTGCTTAGAAACGTTTTGAGCAAATCCGTTACAGTACTTGTAAGTAATAGTTTTAAAAATTACTTTAGCGAGACCGAGGAAATTAAACAAAGAAATGACAACATGAAAGCCTCCACGACATTTATCGTCATCTATGCTGAAGATGAAGGTGATCCGATTCATAAATATGACACAAAACACACAGAAGAATGACCATACGATCCATGAATTTTAATTTTAAAGCCTTACTTTTATTTTATGTATAATCACACAAATGTAGTTATTTAAACTTTCAAATTACGTGATGCCTAAGTACCTGATAAAAGTAAAAAGTAAGTAAAGCTATCCCTGTAACAGGCCGTGAAGGCCCATAGGGTTGTGAGACGTTGAGGCTCCCACATTTTCCAGACAATCGGTTCAAAGATGGCGGTAAGGTTGTCAGCCTTACGCGCCCGCCGCGCTTCACTCCCCAGGAAAATCATTTAATTAATTCCTGGCGCTCATTTCTGTTAGAGGCTGAGTAAACCCCAGGGCCTAGTGCGGCCGGAAGGATTAGGTCAATTGAAAAAAATCCAATGACCTCATCGGTATTTGAACCCGCGACCTTCCGGCTTGTAACATGACGCAAATTCGATTTCTACGAAGTTCTCTTTCAAGGAACCTCATACAACTTTTAGTAGTACAAAATTTCCAGAAATTAGTCTAAAGCAAAAGACTGTACCCCTATGACGCACATGCCTTGACTCACAAGGCTGTGAATTCTGTCCGCTCTAAAATTATTCTGTGATATACATAGATATGGTTTATTATAACTATTGTGATGAAATTCGAAAGAGTTCTGGTGTTCCGTATTAAATGAAATTCCTGGTTTTTGTGGAATTATTGTAGAGTGTGGTCTATTTGATTATACCATCGTATAGAGGTGGTTACTGCCCACCATATTACGCTGTGTCGGATTTCATGGGCTGCAACTCTGTACTAAATTTGGAAAATATTATCTGAGAGCAAAGCGTACTTTTAGCCCATAACGCAACATCGCTAATGAATATACTGTAACGTGTTTTGCCTACTGAAGGCGCCGTTCGGATTGTTACTTGGGTTTATTAACCACTTACAGTTCGTAACTACTACACCCAAGCTGACTTACACAACTTACCCCCACTACACACTAATCCCTTCACTCTACCTTCAGTAGTTTTCTCTTATTTATAACAAGGGAGCTATACAAGATTAGTGTGTAGTGGGGGTAAATTTTGTAAATCAGCAAGAGTGTCATAAGTACTTGTAGTTACGACCTGTAATTGGTTAATAAACCCAAATAACAATCCGAACGGCGTCTTCAGTAGGTAAAACACGTTACAATACATATGTCGTTGGCTTTCAAATTGGGCGTTTTGTCGCAAGATAGCAGGATCTTCATTGCTATCCGGAGATACACACGATAGGTTCTGTGTGTGTATAGACCAAACTATATTTTGCGCATGCCTACACACATGCAAACATTCACACATCCCTGAAGGGGTCAATAAGGAATTCAAGGCAATGCCTGTTTTTGTTTCCCTCCAAAGAGAAATCAAGTGATGGCAATGTTAATGGGGCGCAACTCTGGACTAGAGGTTTCCAGATGAAAGAAGGGTAATTCACTTTCCAGTGAAGAGTAGTATCCCTCATGCTATTATTATTGATTGATTATTGTACAATATTTTTATGTATATATATGTACATTCAATTATTGAAATTAAATATACTTGTTCTATCATTATTTACCAATGTGATCTTTTGAAATACGCACTTAAACTGTTTCATAATTGATAAATGTTGGGGATCTGGAATGGATTAATGCAATTTACGTTATTTCAAATGGGAAAATTTAACTCGAAAGTCGAACAATTTTAAAGTCGAACCGTCTCCTACAATAAATAATTTTCCTGCGGAGTAAAGCGCGGCCGGCGCATAATGTTGACAAACTTTCCGCCATCTTTGAGCCGATTGTCTAGATAATGTGCGATCCTCAACGTCTCACAACCGTATGGACCTCCACGGCCTGTTACAGGGATAGCTTTACTTTTACCGTCTCCTAGAAAGGATTGTGTTCGAAATTCGATGTTCCACTCTATATTGTCTTCTCTTGTATTATGCTTATTGTACGAAATATGAGGATTGCATGTTGGCCTACTTTGTTTTCATTAGTCCGACGCTGAAAATATTTCTATTTACTTAAAATACCTACCCTTGGATCAGCGAACCAGTCATTGTCACTGTATAGTAGTCGGACAGGCGCAGTAATGGCTGAGAGGTTGTACTCCGGGGGTGACAGTTGCCCGTAGCGGAACAAGTTCCTGATATATCCATAGTCCCAATGTCGGAAGGATCCTGATACAGAACATAAGGATAATAGACTCACAGTTTATAATATTGTAGTGTTTAAGATTTCGTGTGGCTCAGGTAGTGAACATGGCTAAATAGCGTACCTGAATTCATATCTTGCGCGTAATGCAAGAATGATTTAGCGGAAGATCCTGCCGGAGCGTGTGACATCAACACTGGCAGTAGCGTCTGTAACAGATTACTTGAATTATGTCAAAACTTGCAACAACTAACATATTTTAAAAAGAGTGCAAGTAGGAGAGATGGTAGCCGAACCGACTATGGGCGTGATGGTCGGGGTTCGATTCCCGGCAGAGCGAGAATTGTTTTTCTTTTCTACAGCGTCCGAACCGGCTTTGGGGCTCATCCAGTCGCATATCTAATGGATAAAGGGGTTCTTTCCAGGGGATAGAGCGGCCGGGGTATGAAGCTGACCGCTCACATCCGTCTAGTGGTGAGATCAAGAATGATGGAGTTATTCCTGCTCTTCCCAATACGTCATCGTTACATGGGATATATTTAATTAAGCACAGGACATTTTTACTTTTGCAGAGCCTTTGGTCTTCTCAGTGATCCTGTAATTTTGATTAACTGTGAATTAAGAATCAATGGCTTTAATTAATGAACATGTCATGCCGCGCCGTCTATGTGGACCTATTGCACTCGTATATAACTTTGTCAATAATAACAGGGTGTGCATACAAATGGAAGTGTGAATTCAGAGATTTGTTAAGCGGTTAGTTTAATGACTTATATTCTGTGGCGTCTAGTGGTATGTTGCATGATAGATCAGAAGGGATATGACGGGAAGCTGCTTATTTTAAGCATTATTCATGAAAGTCTGAGGAAAAGTAAGAAATACTTAATTAAAATAGCCGTTTGAGGGCATTAGTTCTCCTTAGTATGAGCGGGAACTTAGCGAAGTCCACTAATTGTGAAGCGCAGCTCACCGTGTTCAGTTCCTGCGGATTGTATCCACAGAGGGCGAAGAGCGCCGTGCTGCACACCTGTTGTATGATGGACCCATCGGAGCACACGTAACCGAGTATGGAGCTCGTGAGTTTGCCATTTGGTAGGAACTCATTTATACCCAGCATTCTGACCAATGGCTGTAACAAAGCGAATATCAATGTTGTGACATTAACCTTCACCTTTTGTTTCTAATTCGCATAGTGGGGGGTGGAGTCCAGTTGGGTCCACTCGGCACGGCGGCCACTGATTGGCCTATTGTGCCTGCCCCGGGTGGTTATGATGATGGAGAATTAGGTGGAATGATGATTGGCAGGGGAAACCTAAGTACACGGAGAAAACCTACCTCAGCACCACTTTGTCCACCACAAATCCCACTTGACCAGTCCCGGGTTTGAACCCGGGCAGCAGTGGTGGGAAGCCAGCGACTATTCACTTGAGCTATGGCGCGTCCCTAATCACCATCTTCATAGTATTAAGCGTTTATCTGTCAGAAATTAGTGCCCGTACAGATAGTGAGGTAATTCGGCAAGAAATAAGTACCCCAATTTTCTGCAGACAAGTAGGAAGGAAATTCCTCGGCTGGTTCATATGATTTCCTTTACAAACCTTTTTCCTTTAAATGTATTTTAACCTCAAGCTGCCACCCTAATGCTTTTTAACCAAATAAATTCTGTATCATATACCTGTTTTCTATAGTTCAACCACGTAATTATCAAGAATATTATAATTATATTGATTAGTCTTCTTAAAAATGTCAGAAGAAAATAGTGCATTTCCATATTCGTAGGTTATTTAATGACACTTTCAGTAACTCAAATTGCAATGTCAAAAGATGGGATTAGAGTGAATAATGAACAGATATGGACGTTTGAGGAAGAAGTTAATTAAAATTAACATAGATTTAACTCATGTATGTTTAGGGAATAACATCCTTGCTGTTCCAAGTATACTGGCACAATTACTCTGCAGACGTTTCGAGAGAGAAGACCAGTATCTATGAGGCAGCACATATTGCTTTAATGAAGGGGTTTATAAACCAAAAGCAATGATGTCCACCATATCAGGGAAGAAGATGTTAACATTTTTAAGGAAGATATTGAAACATTACCAGGTGGAGAGACTGCAAGACGATGAAAGACATTTCCCCATTGAATATGAAGCCATGTAGCATTGAAGACTGCCGCCTTCTTGGATCAATGGGCGTGTAGATCAGCAGCAGTTCACCGGCTTTTCGGAGAAGCCGCCTACCTGCTAGCTACTTGCTTGGTTTATTCTTGAAACATGAAGATGGAGCCAGTGTGCTCCTCTGAAGCTACATACCAGAAGATAGCGCCCTTCACAGTTACCAGTGCGAGAATATCATATCCACTATTTATGCCATCTGCCACTCTTTACTTGTCGAGGTGATTAGTCACATAGCACGACAAGTCAATTTCTTTTTCTGAACACGCTTGAAATTAACAGAAGGCATATATATATAAGGGGGGGGGCATGCGGTAGCGTAGTAGGTTGAGGCACTTTGCTACAAGCTGGAAGGTCGCTGG